AGAAAAATATTGAAATTTTGGATTTTTTGGTGTTCATTTTGTCTTTGTTTTCTATGAAAATTGTTCATTAAATGGATATAATTTGTTACAATTGGGGATAAAATTTGTTTAAATAAAAAAAAAAAAGTTGCCTAGAAAAGTTTTTCTCACAAAACTCATGGGAAAAGGTTGTCCTCGAAAATCAAGAAAATGTGAAAAATCAATTCCATGAAAAATTTAGTCAATTAAACATGCAAAAAGGTGGAAATAGAATTTAATTTCCATCTTACATGAAAAGAAAACGGCCTTAATAATAAATAGGCGTTTTACTTAATAATAGAGACTTGGTATTGTTACTTAGGTTTCATATTGTCCATTTCTATAAGAGGAGACTCGAGTGACCTACTAGAGAAGGCCGATAGTCCACCTGACCTTGTATAAGTAAAAAAAACGGAACTTAAGACCATGAAATATGCTCAAGAGGTCCACTGCTCACCCTCTCAGAAGCAGATATTTTCAGAACCAAATGAAGCTTCTAAGCTGCTCAAATTTTACTGTTTCCAGATAAGTTTGTTTTTGTGAAATCTGACCATAACATTTGTAAAACAATAAGAGAAACAGTAATTATGAACCGGCGAAAGAAACAGAAGATAGTACATTCAAAAGCAGGAGAAGTGAACCGTCTAAACAAATTTCAATAAGATCCCACACATGGGATAGCTACATTCTTGAATAATAGTCCCAACAAGAGGAAGAGAGCACCCACAAACCAACGCAATTACACGTGCTCATTTACCTTATTCAAGCCAGGTAGCGATATAACTTCCTATCCGTTTTGTCTCTCTCCAAGAATTCCCGTTCAATCAGAGATTCAATTCGTTTCTTTATCACAACTGGGTTAGGCAAGAATCGTGATTGAAGCTGTTTTGTGACCTCAGCAACAATATTATTGTGATCGAGAACCCTTCGTGACTTCATAATCCTCACTATCGCTGCCTCAATCTGAGGTTTCCTGTCTTCTTCCACTCTTTGTCGTGTCTCCTGCTTCTCTGGTTCAGACTCCTTCTGAGCAACTACAGTGCCTATTTTCAGCCGGTACAATTTGGTTGTAAACTTATCATTGAAGAAGAAGGCATCATCATCAGCAATATCCTTGCTCATAGGCTCTTTCCTGAGAACATTTTTTCCCTTAACACAAGCCAATGACTGCAAGCATCTCTTCAAATCCGATGGAGGAATCTCAGTGGCTTGTTCTATTTCCTTGTAACTCAGGCAGTCGACGTTGTTGAACAGCATCAGGATACACATCTGATATGTGGAGACGGAAAGTTCCTTTGGGGCATTTCCAAATTTTGCACTCAAAACGGCAGTACCCATGTTTGTCTGCCAAGTCAGTCTCCTCCCAGTATGAGTTCCAAGATAGTACGCCCTGAACTTTTCACATACTCCGAGGATTTCTGGAGGAAGATTGCAAGTAGAGCTGGACTGAGTAGGCCAAGATCCGGTAGTGAGGACCTGGACTGAAAGTACTGGGCCATCTGCTATCTCAGCACCCATGGCAGCATAGAAACCCTGCATCGTATCCTGAGAGGTCTTTATGTCGGTGAACATTCCTTCAAGTTTCGATGTAAACTGATAACCACATTCAGTTTTGAGCTTAACGATCAGACTTCTCTCTGCATCATCGGATGCAGTCTTCTGCGAAAGAAGCCTCTTAGCCAAATGCTGCTTGTAATACTTCTCGAAAACATCTTTCTCTTGGAGGTAGCGGAAAAGCATCATCACCTTATCCAATAGAGTCTCTATGTCCTCCTCCTTGTCCTTTTTCAACCCATTCCGCAGCTTGTCATCCACAAACAAGGAAATGAATTCAGGAGATCGCGGATTCAGATTAATAAAATATTCAAATGAAGAGTTTAGAGCATTCTGAAAAGTCTTGTCATTATTAAATGCTAAACTGATGATCTTATCAAGCCTATCCCTTTTATCCAGTAGCTCCTGAACAAAATTTACTGGATCCTTTAACCTTTCTGGATCAGTAACTAAATATTTCCCAGTTTCTCGAATATGAGAGGTCATGACGTCTTTAATTATCGTGAGTCCATTCGGAACTCTCAGAAACAAGCTGTACATTCTTCCCAAATCCATAAACTTTTCATCCACAATCATACTAATTAACCCTGAGTTTTCCATATGAACTAATCTGTGCATGTGATGTTCAATCATTTCTTTCTCTACCACAATAGTTATTTTGACTTCACTTTTGGCATCCAAATAATGTGATACTCTCTCAATCTCTTCATTTAAACGTTTCTCAGCTTTCTTCAGGTAATCAGCACAATCACAATTCTCGATATATTGCTGAGACTCCACACGATAGAAATCAACTGATACTTCAACGAAAGGCTTTTCAAAGTTCTCTTCGTAAACTTTAGCACCCAAATCCATTAGCATTTTTGTTGTACTCCTCATCAGACCCCTATTAATAACATCACCAGTCCTCTCGTTCTGCACAAGTTCAAGAAGTGTGTCCCGAAGCCTTGTCTGGATCTTGTTATAGTGGATAATGTTGTCCCTCCATAAATTCAATCCAAGCTCATGAACTGGAGTTTTGTGAGTACTCGGTATGAAAGTTCTGTCCATGTACATTAGTATGTCACGAATCATTTGCAATGCCTTGTTATGCTCTGTCCATTTCCGGTTAAGCTCCTCCAGAAACATACTTCCTTGAGCAGCCTCTATGGATTTAGCTATTTCTTTTAAATGTGATGTCATAGTTGACACCAGTCCTGAGTAAAGCTTCTCTCCAAATTTGTGCAGGACCATATTATATGCATTCCTGAAGACACCACATACCCAAAACATCATATGCTTAAGCCTCACTAAGGAAAATAATAATTAATAATCCCAAAAAATAGAGGTATTATGATAATGAGCTAATAGCTTCAATTCAGATTCCAGGCAGATAATTAAGAGAGAAGGATGAGAATAACACATCAACAAGGTCCACAGAGTCCATGAAACTATATGGTGTAAAACAAAACAGGTGGAAATTGTTTGGCCAGGCATTGGGTTTGCTCCCCCAGTTCGAGTCCCCTCAGGTGAGTATGTGACCGTAAACTTAAGTACCTCGTGAGATTAGTCGAGGTGCACGCAAACTAGCCCGAACATCCACAGTTATTAAAAAAAAACAGGTGAAGATTGCAGACATTGCTTCAAGTGATATGTGAGAATTGTCAAGTAAACATAATTCAATCTGAAATTGTGACATTAGATGCGTTGCAGCCAAGCAATCAAGCATTGCCCGTTTAACATTCTAAATTTTAAAAGAATGCGATGTATGGGTTTCCTAGTTTGTTATATGGACACGTGGTGGGTCTTCAAGTGCTACAGATCAGATGCCCGCCACTCAATACTAGTTCCCCTCAACCTTCAAGATGAGACTAACACAAGAAACTGTGTAAATGTTCATCTAGGCCATTGAAGGATACCTTCAGTTATACAACCCCTTCCCACCAAAAATGCCGACAAGGATATAGGCTGAAACAAACCACAGGTCTATAACTCGATTAAAAACTTGTTCTCTTGGCCCAACATAACAGGTAGAATCAATTCTAATTTATAATAATTTCACGCTTGTCCTCTTGCTCCAATGAAACAATGGCTTCTAACCAGCACAGGGCTTCTCACTTCAGTCTACCCTAAACTCCCTCTGTCCCAAATATTAAACCTCGATAATTCCAGACTCCCAATTATATACCGCCCTAAAAATAATATAATTTTTGCTGCCCCCGCGGAAAAGCCAGTAGATATAACAAAAGCGAAAAAATAAACGTAAATTGACATAATCTTGATACAATAATTCTCAAACTGATATTGATATTCAGTACAAATATTTCATAACTTTCTACGAAGCAAAGGAAATGTCAAAACAGTTCGGATACGGATTGAATGAAAAGGGAACCTGTACAGCTCCTCGAAGCTGAGGCCGCTAGCATTATGATTGTAAATCTCTTGAATCGCATGTTCCAGGATCTTCCAAGTCTTCTCAGCATATTTCGGGTCCACCACCACCCGATGCTTGAACGCCTCTATCTGAAACCTCTTCTTCGCTCCGCTCATCCTTTCCTGTCAATTCCCAAATTCAGCACACCACTGTATACAACTCCAAACCCGATTCCAATAATCGGATAGAAAAGATCCGATTAATTTAGATTTAAGATCCAAAGTTTCCAATTAGGGCTTCGGAAAATGAAAGTTTAACTGTTCGAAATTGATTTTTCCATTATCAACCACGACGGATTCAGCAAAATTTATTAGGAGTTTCGAGATTAACTCAATCGATTTTGTGCATGTGTGTGTGGGGTGCGTGAAAGCATCACCAAATGAAATGGGGAAAAGGTTTATATCAATGTTCTTGATTTTCCCTTTTTTATCATTTTCTCCTTTTTTTTTTTTTTTAATTTTGTTTGATTCTCAGATATTTATCCATTATTCCCTTTAAAATAAATTACTTGATATTTCTCCCTTCTATTTTCTACAGTTTTTTCCAATTTCAACCTCGGGCAGTATTTTTTTATTATTATTTTAAAAAAAAAAAAAAATTGGGTATTCATCGAACATCGAACTCGCAGAGTCCGGGAAATTGAGAAATTGCACTATTTGATTTCCAACTTAACCATGTCCAACCATTAAGAATCGGTCTTCAAACTTTTTATTGTCGTTACTCAATTAATTTTCAATTATTCAACCTATTGAAATCGTAAATGATTAGATAGAGTCATTAAAACTCGAATCATCTCAAATTTCTACGCATTAGCATAAGTTGGAAAATAAAACATTTAAAGTCAAGCATATAAGCTAAAATGTCACGTGAAGATTTGACATAAATTTAACAATCATACTGTATGTGCATCATCTTTCTTTACATTGTGTCAGCATTGGACAGATTAAAAACAAAAACAGTTTTCTCGCCTACATTTTTCAAAAAACAAAAGCAATGTAAGAAATAATGTCAACCAAAGAGTGTACATTTAACATTATTCTAAATTTAAATAGTTATATCTTTCTACACTAAAGCTTGATTTCGACTTATTGTGATTTTAAGAGAATTGATATTTGCTTTGATGAAGAAAGATTAGGAAAGAATAGAGATGGCGATAAGGTGAGCTAGGTTCGTATGAAATTTTTTGGAGGCGGTGATTAAAAATTTCCCTTTTTTTTTCATGATTAATTATTTTTATTTTAAATATAATTTTTAATTGAAAAACTTTTAAAAAATTGAAATAAAAAAATTCAAGACAAAAACCATGTTTTCTATCCTCATTTCATTTGACAATTAGAAGTTGGGCTCAGAAATTAATTTCAAAGAGAACCTAATATGTGATTATAATGAAAGATAAGAGACAAAATTATTTATTTTTATAGATTGAAAACTAACTATTTGCAAAATAATTTTTTATTTTGAATAAAATCCATTAATATCAAATGAGCTCACGTCACATTAGATGGGGGTATGACATTTCTCTATTGGGTTTTAATTTGTCATGTCTGCCTACATATGTAATTAATTGTGTATAAATACTATTTTAAAGTTCATTAAAGTCATCTAACAAAGAATTAAAGTTATGGACTTTGAACATCTAATTAAAGTATGAGCTTAAATATGTGTAGAAACCAAACCGAGTGTATTTCATTATGGGTCAAAATACATATGAAAATATAAATAGGATTATGATCCCCAAATCATATGTGATTCTCATTCTTTGTATCACCTCAATAACACAAGAATACAAGAAAAAAGAATATTGGAGAGGAAGATCCCAAAATCCACAATCAAGATTAATAATCAAGAAGAATGTATTGAAGCAATCAAGATTATAAAGCAAGAAGTCAAAGTCAGGAATAAGAATTTAAGAATCAAAAGATGCAATATTCAAGATTAAAGAGTAAAAAGTCAAACACAAAGAGATTACAGTTGATCTCCAAGATTTAAGATTTGGAATCAAGATCCAAAAATAAAGAATCATTCACAATGAATTAAGATATGTTCTGTATTTAATAATTCTTTTACTGATTTGACTAGAGAATGTTGACAATAAAGTTATTAGGTTTCTAAGTTCTTGAGATTTAAAGTATTATAAAATTCTAATTAGTGGTATTAGAGTCAATTCCATGTTAAACCTTGAGATTCAAGAAAGAATTTTATGGTTGAAATTCAAAATTTGGATTTTCCAATTTAGGATGTGAATTTTTTAGCACTTTTAATTTCAAATTTTTAGATTTTTTTGGGAGCTTTTGGAAAAATCTTTGGTCAAAACGATAGCTACGGCGCCAAACGACTGCCATTTAGGTAACACGGAGTTGTCGGGGGCGTTCCAGCTCGTAGGCATTGCAAGGCAGCGCGCAACGCTGTAGCGCCCATTTCTGGGAGCTACAATGCCAAAGTTTTTTTTTAGTTTTTTGAATTTTTTTTTGGTTAAAACAAATAAAGGGAAATGAAAATAAAAGATAAGGGGCAATCAATTTCAAATCTTGGTAATTAAAGTTTTTTTTTCGGATTACTAATTTTCTAAAATAGATTAATTAAAACATTTTATCAAAATAAAATTTCTTGTCTATATTAATTTATTGAAATATTAGGAAGATTATGTGTATGTAATTGACTGGCCCAAATAAAGTTCAATATTTGATCGAATTACATACACACCTGTGATAATAAATATGCGACAATTGTAAAGTTCATTTTTTGTGTGAACATTAAGTCGGCCCAAAAATAGACTTAATGTTTAACCTATTGTATTATTAATATTTTATTATTACATCAAGAATACCACTTACAAGTGACATTTTTGTCCAAAGACTAAATATCAATGTTATGTCCGATCTCTTATAATGAGACCCACCATTATTTGAATTTATTGATTGCTCAATATGGATTTTATGTGAATACGTTAATTGGGTTTAAATTCTCTATTTAGTTAATCTCACTCCTGCAATATCTGTCGACATCAATTCGATTCATGTATTTAAACCGAAGTTTAAAGGTTGGAAAGAGACCATTTGTATCGTTCTTGCCGGCATTGATCTAGACCTTATGTTAAGGACTAAACAACCAACTACTCTTACGCATTAAAGATCCGCTAATAAAAAGGGGATTTGGATAAGTTGGATTGTTCAATCTGCATCAATCTTACGATCACAAAGCGTGGATTTCAGCAACATTCAGGGGATTGTGTTCGATAAGGTAACTAATGCCAATAAATTTCTTAAATAAATTGAAAAAAGCTTTGCAAAAGGTGATAAAGTCGAAACTAGTACGTTTCTAGCAGACTTGGTTTCACTAAAATATGAGATTAAAGAAAACATAAGGGAGTACATTATGAATATGTCTCATCTTGCTACAAACTAAAGACATTAAAGTTCGGGCTGTTTGATTACTTCTTCGTACATTTGATTTTGATTTCTCTTCCTGCATAATTCAGTTGATTTAAAGTCAGTTACAGTTGTCAAAAGGGAAAGTGGACTCTTGATTAACTTATGTCATATTGTATGCAAAAAGTAGACAGGCTAAAGCAAGAGATAACTGAAACTGCTCACTTCGCAAATACCTCTAAGAACAAGTTAAAGAATAAAGAAGTTGTATCTGATTCATTTCAAAAGAAACAGTACAAGCCTAAAAATGATAAAGTATTTGGCTGTTACTTTTATGGAAATTTTGGACACATCAAGACACTGTACTAAATACTATGTTTGGTGTGAAAGAAAAGTACACTTCTCACTTTGGTTTATTTTGAGATTAATTTAGGTTCAATAACTAGACACACTTGGTGGATAAATTTTGACGCTAATACTCACATAAGTATGTCTATGAGGGATTGCCTAAATAGACGAAAGTCAATTGATGTTGAAAGATTCGTCTATGTAGACAATAGCAAATCAGTTAAAGTTGAGGCTATATGAACTTTTAAATTAATATTATTAAAGATTGGTTGTTATTTGGATTTGAAAGAGTAATTTGTGGGATCATCTTTTAAACGGAATTTGATTTCTATTTCTATATTGGACAAATTCGATTACTCTTGTTCATTTGAAAATAGTCTGATTTTGTCACTTCCGTAATTCAAATGTTGCGGGTACAGATTCTTTATATAGTTAGACAACGTATATTCACTTGATTCGATTTGCCTCTTATAACAAAATCTTGCATGTGAATTCACGTAGTATTAAACGTAAATTAACCAATGAGAATTCCACTTCATTATGCCACAAGAGATCAGGTCACATATCTCAAAAGAGAAAAAAAAAAGTTGTGTAAGAAGGAATTCTTGATCCCCTTGATTTTTCAGACTTAAGTGTTTGGATTAATTACATTAAGGGATAATAAACAAACATAATGAAATTATGTACCAATAGAATTTCAGATGTCTTATAACTAATTCGTACGAATATCTATGGTTCATTCTCTTCGACTTTTTGAAATGTTCAATAGTCATTTATTATGTTCACAAAAAATTTTTCTTGTTATTATTACATGTTTCTCACCATGAGAAATCCTAATTACTCTACATGTTCAAAACTTACAAGCCTGAAATTGAAAATCAACTCAGTAAAAGAATAAAACACGTTATCTGATTGTGGTGGTGAATTTTATGGCATATATGACGGATTAGTATATCAAAGTCTAAGATTTTTTGCTTAATTTCTAGATGAATGTAGAATCGTTCAACAACACATCATGCTAAGATCACTTAGCATGAATGGTGTTATTGAAAGACAAAACAGAACACTTAAATACATGAAAAGAAGTATGATTAGTCATTTCATATTGTCAGATTCTTCCTAGGAAAAAGTAATAAAGACTGCAGTTTAAATTCTCAATAAAATTTCAAGTAAAGCAACTGTAGAGGGGTTACAATTTTAAAGATTTCACTATTAGGTCAATCTTTCAAAGCGAAAAACGTCTGATTCTTTGAGGATGTGGAAGAGGGAGATAAAGTTTTAAAGTTAAGGATTTTCTCTTTGAAAAAGAATATGTATATATCACTTCTGTTGTAATTGATAATGATCTGGATCGGTGACAAATTTTTACTCCAGATCTTGTTTGATGAGCAATTTCAAATCAGGACAACATTACAAAACCCCATATACACAATCAAAAGATTTTTCCAGAAAAAAAATTCAACATCCTCAAAAATAAATATCATTAAGGAAATCAACAAGAGAAATGAGAAAAACAATTCTTGATGACTTTACAATCTTTCTCCAAAAATATGATGATGGCATTAGATTGATGGAAGAAGAAATGATCAATTAACTTTCATCAAACCATGCAAAATAATAATTTCAAGAGTGGATTGATGACGTGAAGTTGACTATCCAAATTTGGAGAGTAAAACTCATTCTCTATAATTAAATGAATTCAAAGTATTTCAATTTTCACTATAGGAAAATAATATAATAATTTAGAGGGAATCTAATAAAAATAAAAGTAATATTTTAAAAATTGACAGGTGCATTGACTTAGAAAATGAAGAGGGTCGGTGGTCAAATGGTCGAACCGAATATCAAAATCAACCAGAAAATTAAATTAATTAAATAAAATAAAATCTTTGTGTGTGTGTGTATATATATATATATGTGTACTATATAAATAAAATAAATTGCTATATATACATATAATTTTAAAAACTAATATTAAATTTAAGAATTTTTAACATTTGTTAATTATTTTTTAATTAAGTATTTCTTTGCAACAAAAAAAAAAAAAAAGAAGAAGCTAAATGGGCCTGAAAATGGTCATAACCAGCATTAATAGATATAAATAGGCCCATTTATAAACATAGTAAGCCATCAAGTCATAAATTCAGAAGTCTGAAGAAAAATTGGAGACAACGTGGTAGCTGCTCTTCTTCTTCGTCCTTTTTCCGGTGGTTTCTTCTTTTTATTTCTTAAGGCGTAATTCTTTTTTCTCATTTCTCCTGGGGGCTTCTTCTACATATATGTTCATGTGAATTGATGAATGGTCTTTCACATAACTTCGGCAAGTTAAGGAAATTTCGTTGGCAGAAGTTTTATCTCTTCTTCTTCTTCTTCTTCTATGTGTGTGTGTGTGTGTGTTTTTTTTTTTTAGCATGATAACCGGATAAGTCAAGAAAATTGCATCCGGTTCATCGGTTCCAATCGGACCCATCATTTTACCAATTTTTATATTATCGGACATCCGACTACAATCAAATCGATCACCGGACCGATTCACAAGTTTTCCGATCAAACCGACTGATCCAGTTCGATTTTCAAAACATTAAATAAAAGATAGTGGAAAAAAGTAAATATTTTTGTAAGTAGTAAAATTAAATTAAATAGATATTAGACCCGATTCTAGCATCGACTTGGTAGAAGTACTGGGTCATCGGGTCAGTGGTCGGACTTTTGGGTCGTTACTTAAAAATTATTTAATTTTTTTAAAATATAAAATTAAAATGTTTTAAGTTATTTGTCACTATTGATTTTTATCTGTAAATAAACGATTTTGTGAACTCATTGTTAATTATAATGGTTATAATTTTATTTTATAATTTTGTAAACTATATTAATAAAATTATTCCCATTTTTAAGATGTAGGAATCATTTATTAGGTATTGGCCAAAATTTATGTGTAATGATATACAGTTTATCTTAATTTTTTCTTAACATAATAAGTCTATAAAATAATTAGTTAGTATTACAAGATAAACTAAATGTTGGACTATTTCTTTTCAAAATATTTTGACTATGGTAAATAATTATAAGTTACATATTTTTTGCACAAAATGTTAATGAAGTATTGTTAGGATTTTTGCTAATAAAGAGTATACTGGAAAACTTATAAATTTTTGCTCTCATCTCTTATAAATGCTCTTACAACCCATGAAGCATATAGGATGTGTATGGCTGATGAATATGATCCATCATATTCAAGTATCATGCGGATTAACTTCAACAACGATAATCCAACAATATTGCATGAAGACAATACAGTTTGTAATGTATGAACTCAGAGAAAGTTATATCAAAGGAGATATGACAATGCATATTTTTCAAAACTCTTTTATACACGAGTTTTAGAATAATAGTGACATTGATGTTCAACAAATTCGTTTGAGTGACAATATAATTGGCTAATTCACAAAGCAATCGATAGCTACTTTCAAAAAATTGGCACACGAGATTAGAATGTATCTACTCAAACAATCTACAATAATTAACACCAAGGGGAGCAGTTGTACTCTTTTTTCTTTTGTTCAGATTTAGTCCCACTGAATTTTCATAAACAAAATTTTAATGAGGCATTATTTTCTTAATACTTCAAATTTATTTTTAATTAATTGTACTTTTTTCGTTTTGTTTGATTTTTCTTCCACTAGTTTTTTGTTAAACAATGCTTTTAATAACATAATTTTTGTTCAAATGGTCATCATAGGTAAACCCTCTTTTTCTAAACAAAAACATCCATACATCTCTAGTGATTTTTTAGACTCCACCAAAGAAGGTCGATGAGGTTAAGGATTCTACAACCATATATTACTTCTCATACAAAGAAAGTAAATACAAATGAAAACTAGTCTATAAACATCTAAAGCTGGATGGTCCATGATTGTCAATCTGCACAAGTGCCCTAAGCGTTAAGGTCGGTCAAGTGCAGGAATGGATTTAGGACCGGACTACTAGTCGGGCTAATACGTAGAAAAAAATTAATTTACACACAAAAAAAAATTTACAAGATTTTTTTTTTACACTAAAAAAAAAGAGGGGCTAAGGACTGGACTACAGCCCGACCCAGTCCCCCACCTAAATTTGTCTCTGGTCAAGTGGTGCATACTCTTGATAGCGACGTTGATCCCAATCCTTTAAAACAAGAGAGTCTATAGTGTGGAAATTGCGTCTCTGTCGAAGGAGATAGGGTTTCTAATCTGTCTAAGAATGCTCTTAATCGTCCTAGTTCTCTACCCTTGGAGATGCAGTGAATAGTCACAGTCGAATCTACCTCAACCAAAATAGCTAAAATACCAAGTCCTTTGGCCAGTGTTATCCCATCCAGTATAACTCTGAGATCAGCCTCCAAAATCAAATATGGCCACATGAATCATGATGATGAAGATGCCATGACGCAACTCCATATATGGTCCTTAATAATGCATCAACAAATCGAAAATCCATCATTGACGTATCCATCAGTGTTGATCTTGAAAGATTTCACTAGTGGAGTATGCCACACAACCAAAACAAGTGGTGATGAGGGATGCAGAATCATAAAAATAACGAAGAGGGGCTATATAAACCAGAATATGAGTAGATGAATGATAATGCGAATATGTTTACCTCGTACATACTGTCCAGAATAACGTGATCTCTAGAATCAAAGGGAAGCTTATAGGATAATTATTGATTATTTTTAGCCTTATCATGATATTTAGATAAATTTTATTTTCTTTATAAGAGTGCATTGTATTCAAATTGTAACTCTAAATGAATGCTTATTATATTATCATAGTACTTGACTACTTGTATTGTGAATAGCATTATTTTTGTGCCTAGCAAAACATCGAGCTCGTGTGGTTCCCCATTGTCTCGACCCAACCATATCCACGCAATGATATTTTCTTTCAAATCCCTGAATTGACAAAATCATCCATATTACTCCGCTTACCAAAAGAATTGCAATCCTACTTCAAGGGCATCATAGTAATTTCATTTCAATTTGACCCCGTGAGTTGCTCATGCCGATCGATACGATGCTTGTTCAAGGCACACGCCCACTCGTGGAATATATACCCTTACCCCAACACACCTTGATGGTCATCTGCAAATTCTAAAATTTAAGGTACGATCTGGGTTCTTGATTAATTAGCTTCAATGATGTGGGTTTCATAAATTCTCTTGTAATTTTTTCTTATATATGGTTATTGGTTTTTTAAGGTTTCAAAAATGGTTTCTGAAGCTACTGATTCTGACAGTGATCATTTAAACGTGGTTGCCAGGTTAGTTTTCTGTATATTGGGACTTTCTCTTTTTCATTTCCTGGCTTTCTGTTTAATTGAGCTCACATGTGAAGATTTCATTTGATGAGGGTTTTAATTTTATTATACAAAATGGGGAGATAGCAATGTGTGATTACACTATTCACTTGAAATTATGCAAAATGGAAGGGATTAATAGGTTTTACCTTATGCAATTGGATATAAGATGGTTAACATTTGTGGTTCAAAGTTGGGGCTTGGAAAAGTCGCTGCCATTCTTTGGTGAAATCGAGCTGATTAAGCCATGAAGAAAATGAATTGCAAGTGAGTTGGCGTGTTGAAGATATAATTTATATATATAAGTTTGTTTCCTTTCTAGTGGATCAAGCTTTTAGATGAGGTGATTCGATAATCTTTTATGTTTTTGATTAATGAGTTTACATCTAGTCAAATGAAGAACCTCACTAAAATTCATAATTTAAGAGCAGTTGAAAGCAAGATTAAAGACGGAGCACAATATTATGGTACAATACTGTAACTTTGGTTGTGTTACCGGAAATGGATGATTAACATTACTTAGACCGTGTTTGAGTTCTTGATTTTCAATTGATAACTCGCATTTATGTAGCAAAACACTGCTGCTTTGTTTATATAGTCTGAGAACTTCTTTGTGCTGCAGGTTGCATCCCAATAAAAAGAACCCTGGAAAAGTTCCAAAGAAAATTCATAAAGCGGAGAGGGAGAAGCTGAAACGAGACCACATGAATGTTCTATTCTCGGAGCTAGGCAAAGCTCTTGGTAATAATCCCTCAACCCAGTCCAGTCTTTTTTATGGTTGCTAATTATTAATTCTATCTCTATTGGTCACAGAAGCTGCTTTAAAACGAGTATGTTTTGCTAACTTCAGAAAAAGTTAAATTTAAATAACCATTTGTCTCCAAAAATGTTTGGATAACTTACTTTTTTTGTTATTTTTAGTAGAAACTGTTGCGTTTGAAAGTAGTTCCTAGTTACCATCAAAATATTACCTACTTATTTTTTTTTGATAGGTAAAGATATTTATTTCGGTTGTGCTACATGTACATCACAACTTACATATTGGTGTACATGCATATGATGTGATGAGATATGATTCGATTAAAATTTCTTCAACCAAATAATTTTTTTTAAAAAAAAAAAACTTTCCCACTCTCTTTTTGACATCGCATCTACACATAAAACTTTTTGTGACTTCTTATGTACAAGTAGAATTATTCTATGTATTTTAGGTTTTTTTTTTCCTTAACAAGTTAACATTTTAAGCATAGCTGCACGTGCTCAATTATGATCATTTAATTTGTGGAAGTGCAAGTTGATAACGTATCGCAAATCTTCTGTACAGAACCAGAATATCCGAACAATGGAAAGGCTTGTATACTAAAAGATACCATTCGACTAATGGGAGAATTGCTTACACAGGTCGATAGTCTTAAAAAGGAGCACGCTACTCTATTGTCTGAATCTAATTATGTAAGCTCCCTAAAATGCACCTTTGTCATGTGATTTGAGAGGATCTGTTACTCATCCGGCCTCCTAAATTCTGTTTAAATTTTTCTGTACTTCATCTTGGCTGCTGATACATAGCATTAATTGGTTTATAAAAATTAAGATCCGATAGAAGAATTTGGAAACTGTTGAGTTAATTTGTCTTCATTTAGATAGTATTTCTTGACTCTTGCTTCGGATTCCAAAAACTTGTGAAGGATTGGTTTAGTATCCAGATATCATCTTCTGAAGACATATTTCCGGGAAAATTTCCTGAATGTTGTCATCATATTCGGATTGGTGTTCTGGGCGAGATCTGAAATCATCTTTCTTAGGTGGCCATGATCGTGTCAATCAAACTCGCTTATATCCTTTTATGGCTCAAAAACCAATGTCCAAAGAAAGTACAGATCACATTTGCCCTCCTATCTTGAAAACATGCATGCAACAATACTGGGATTTGTATTTTCAGCACACTATTTTTTGCACTTCAAAACTAAAACTGTAGTATAGAATGTATGATCAGATTTTTCCACGGAGTAATTCTCTTTGTTGGACTTTGTGGAGTATTTTATTGTATACTTATCCGATTGACTGCATTTGATCTAATATTATATTAGGTCTGCATGTTTTGAATCGCCCTAAGATTCCTACATTCATAAAGGATTGTTTTTGGGGTTGTTTTCTCTTAGACGCAGATCGACACTTGAGATCACAGTTGTAATTTTTTTCTCACATAACTTTTAAGGAGAATTATAAACTGGGGTTTGCTCATGTTATTTATTTCGCTCTGCTAAATGGTGCTCTTAAAAATTAGGATTAGGACTTAATTATATTTTGTTGTTATTTTCAAGCTTGAGATATTTCCCAATATAGTTGTGCATAATTGTGTAATCTATATGCTTCATAATTGTGGTTAGGTTACAACTGAGAAAAACGAGCTCAATGAGGAAAATTCTGCCCTTGAAGCACAAATTAAGAGGCTGCAGTGTCAAATAGAGGAAAAGGTTCATTTGCAGAACGCAAGTATTTCTCAACCGGAGAACAACACTATTGTACAACTGCCAGAAGATCATCCCACATTCCCTCTAGCTGGCCATGCATCACAGGCGACGTCAATTCTGGGTCCTGTATACGTCATGCCGCTACATCCTGACTCCCAACTGTATGCCGGGTCGGGGTCCCATGCCCATGTGAATCTACCTACTCCACCATCGAATGTGAGCAAACCGCGCCCTCGTTATCCTTCATCTTCGGATTCTTGGCCGTCTAATGTTCTCACCAAACAGCCAAATGTTACTGAATAGATCTGATAAACTAGAAGTAAGCTAGGTACAGTTGAGGAGATTGAGGCTTTTGTAATGTACTGAAATTGCTTCAATTTGATTCTTGGGATTTAGAATGTAAGTCTACATTGTAAATGATGATTCGTATGTGAACTTTAGTTTGGCTGCTGAATAGAATTCTTTTAAGCCCTTTGATTTTTCTAGTGCTTATACTTTAGTCTACTTTTATTGGTACGTAGATGAGAGTGAGTGTGTGGTCGAGAGTTGGTTAACTTTACTTTGACTAAGATCAAGATCTACGTGGTCATCTCTATATGAAAGAGATCGTATTTTGACATCGTGTGTGCAACAAATTATTGTGTATTGTTGTGTGTGCACCGTTGGCTCCTTCCATTCAACTATGGGCAAGAAACCAGCTTTAACGTGCTTAATTAGTAGAGAGCGAGTGTTTGGTCGAACGTAACTTGGTGATAAGTTTATTACTTTAGGGTCTGCTTGCCAATTTTAGAGTATTGAATTATGAAGTACCAGATTTAAGGTGTGTTTGGTAGGGATTTTGGGGGGAAGAATTGATTTTTGAATAGTGATATGATGGGAAATATGTGGTTTAAAAAGAAGAAAAAAGTATTGATGTGATGGAAAATATTATTTTATTGAAGAATGTGTGATTGAAAATGAGAATTGAATTACTGTAGAAAATGAAAATCTGTACCAAACAGGCCCTTAAGTGTATATGAGGGATCCGATTTTAGATTACTTTTAGTAGCGATTTTTAAAACAGTCGAACTCATTCTTGAGAGTTTATTATCCAACTATTCTAAAAACTAATTAAAAGAATAAAATTATATATAAATATTATTTACTTATAAATAAATTTTAATTTATGTCATTTTTACGTATAAGTAAATTTTTAGTTATAACTTAATTTTGTACTTAAAAGTAATTTTTCACACAAATGAATTTTTAAATTATAAATTTTTATATTTTATTAAATGGATTTTTGTCGTATTGGTAGTATTCTTTACTAAGAAATTTAAAGTGAAATTTTATTTTATACGTGATTTTTTACTTATAAGTAAATTTTTTAGTCATAAAATAATTTTTTTTGCTTACAATAAATTTTTTAATTATTTTATTTTTTTAACAAGTAATTTTTTTTTTCGTATAATTGAATTTGTCTTATAAAATACTTATTTAGAGATGGTAAAATTGAAAGAAAACTTTAAAAACAGTTTAAAATTATCGATTTTGTGAGTTGAGAAATACGATTCAAATCACACTAAACTGGTTTGTGGCCCAAAAAACAAACGAATACTGATTTTTCCAACCTAACAAAATTGTTTGTACAGATGAATTGTATAGACAACTTTACAAATGATGATATGACAGCATTTTAATAGTTGGACTAACCGTATTTTTTTTGTCAAAGATGGTATAAATCTTGCCACGTGTAATTTTTTTGTTTATTAATGAAATAACTTCTATTTTTTTATTAGTGTTTCTTGATGTAGCACATCAACTGGCAATGGACTTGTTGCGCGATCAAACTCAAAGATATTCGAGATCATTTGGCATTCCTTGTCAAGTCATATTGAGCACCGTGTTCCTACATGCCTTTATCATTGAGTATAAGTTGCTCCAACTTATGAATAATGAGTACACTGTGTCCGAATATATACTCAAGTGGTCAAGGGATATAGTCGAATGTCGGGGGAAAGTCATGGGAGGGTCGTTTGCATATGTACATTCCAGTGATGACAAATCATCATTGTTTTCTCGTGAAGATCATCTTTGCTGATTCCACTATATATGTGTACAACTCCGATCATTCTGTCGACACGGGGTCAGCTCGAGCTTCACCAGAGTCGACGGCTGTGATTATTCATTTGATGGTAAGATGAGGAGGTAATTTTGTAGAACATACTAGTCACCATGGGAGATACAATAACAGAGAGACAGTCGTAATCGTAAGTACTTATAATTTTTTTTAATTTGAAAACTTAGTTTTTAGCTACATGGTATCGAACTAATACGTTATTATTTATTTGTCAGGGTGATTGTGACATGTTCGCAATAAAATATATCAATTTTTTTAATATAGCATATAAAGTTGATGGAATCATCTAGTTATGTCAACAAGCCGAGCCAAAACTCAAAGCTTGGGCTCGATTCGAACAAAACAGGTCCGAGCTTTTTTGGGCTCGAGCCGAGCCGAGTAAAAGCTCGGCCAAATTTTTTTGGCTAGACCTGAGCTTTCGGCTCGGGCCTTTATGAGGCGAGCCGACTCGATTTTTGTATTATTTTTTTTCATGACTGCTACCTGCGTTGCAGCAGCTAAATTAATTTTTTTTAAACTTCTTTTTCTAAAACACAGGCCGCCCCAGGCTCAAACTGATGCCTCAAAGGGGCTCGGCCCGAGCCTCGACTCAATGGAACCGAGCCACGAGCCGACCCGAGTCGACTAACTTTTTTGCCATCCCTAGAATCAACCAATCCTGAATACAAAATTAGAGGAATAAGGAATAAGTTAGCATGCAATTTGTATGAATTCAATTGTGCCATAAATATTGTATACTTAATTGTTTATTTAATTGTAAAATAATTGTAAATATTGTATATTTATTTATTTATTTAATTATGAAATAATTGTGAATATTGTAAGTTTAATTTTTTATTTATTTGTGAAATAATTGTAAATATTATTCAATTATCAGTGATACCATTACACATCCGTCTCATACTTATTTAGGGGAATCTGACTTGTACAAAATTAGCGAATATGATCTGTTGCTCTGCACCTACCGCACATACGCGGTTAAGAAAATTTTCTGGTAGATGGTATTCTAGACGTACGTGAACGTTCAGGATCATGCGATTCAACTTCGGGTGGCAACAAACAATTAAGTGGGAGAATGTGGTCGGAAACTTCTCACTCGACTTCATTCGGTAGAAAAAATAGTCTAAACATATGCTGTTTTCTAATAAACGGTTGTGTAATAAGGAGAGCATACAGTTCTCGCTACAAAGCCTCTATACATAGCCACATCGACTTTATGGTCACATTCAAAACTCTCCAACTGAAATCTACTGCAAGTGTAGGTGTTATCAGTTAAGTCCACAATGTATGTCATATTACATGCACATTTCAGGAGAAGCACAACTCATTCCGTGGTTCCACATTTAAATTTTTCGCAACCTTTGCAGCTTTGTAGAGTTTATCCTCCTGAGCCGTGGCTAGTATGCTTGTGTAACTCTGTGATTCCGCACGTCGGTCGTGAAACCACTGCTGCAACTTGTTACGAATGTTCTCAATATTGCGAGGAGTGGTAACTCTCGATCCTTTTTGAATAATACATTAATAGACTCTGTATTGTTCAACGTCATCATATTGTATTGACGTTTTGAAAAATGTGATCACACCCAATATTCAATTTCCATTTTTGTTAGATACTCCTGTGCCAGGAATGATTTAATTCCTATTTCTACCATGAATTTATTACACTCTTCAACACTAGCAACTGTAGAACAAGCAAGAAGGTATATTGAGTGTGTTTTTCTTAAGTGTATTCTTGTATATTAGAATCAGTATTCAAAAGACTATCATTTATAATTTACAAAAACTACCTATTTATAGAGTTCTGGCTGACTTAGTGATCGTTGGATCAGAACCACGTGACATCATATCCTTGACTAAAGTCTTACATCACAAAGTCTATCATATATTAAATACATTGACAACGGGTCAGTCGTCCTATACATTAGGCAGACACATTTGACATTTTTTATTACAAACGTTACATCAATCAATCCTAAAGATTGTCTACAAATCTTGTAAGAGATAGCTTCAGCTTCAGGGACTTCAGATGAACTGAGGGCTTCGACAGGAGGGAGCTTCGTATTGGTAGTTTAAAGTTCTCGACTTCTTTTTTGATTTCTTACGTAGCGCTTCGGTTTAAGAGTTTCAGCCATTTAGGCAGTGCTTCAAAGCGCTTAAAAGCTTCAGCAATTTAGGCAGTGTTTTGGCACAGGAGCTTCAGCCATTGTTTGACTTCTTAGCATTCGACCAATTGGATCTTTGTTGACTTTCCTTACGACATGGCACTTTGACTGGAGCCTCGGTGGCGAGGCATAACAATAGTCCCCCAAATTTAGGCATGATCATTTATGTAATACATGGGTTTGTATAAAAAAAATTTGTTATGAGTGGTTTTTACTCACCACAATAGTCCCCCAAATCCAAGTATAAATATTTATATTATAGTTAGAATTTGAAAGTAGTTGTTCTACATGAATTACCTATCCATGTTGTCCGAAGCTGTGTACCCGGTGACGTCCGAATTTCTGGAATAAATTGGAGAGTTAAGACAAATTTGTCCAAAGCTATCCTCNCTAGAATAAATTAGAGGAGCGTCGTAGGACAAATTTTTAATTATTTTATATATTTTTAAATTTTCGATACGTTTCTGATAAGTATATTTTAATTATTTTATATTTTTGTATGATTTTTGATATGTATCTGATACATATTTTTAAAATTATTTTACTAATTTATTGAATATCAATAATATTTATTGAAAATACACCATTGGAATGCACAATTTTATAAATCTTCCGGTACATATGAAACCATGTTTTAATTGACTAATATATTTTTATTTTTGAAAATAGATAGTGACTAATATTAAATAATGCATGTAAAATTGTGTTACGTTAATTCTATTATTGAAAAGAAATAATGATTTAATATATGTAAAATCGTGCTAATAAAGTGCTTTAGTATTTATTATTATTATTATTATTATTATTATTATTATTATTATTATTATTATTATTATATGTTTCTGTATTAATATATTTTTTTTATCAATAAAATTATGTTGAATTTTATAAAACGTAGCGGCGTATCCTAATTTTTTTTTAAAAGATCGTATCGACATATTCGTATCGTATCCGTATCCATGCTTATTAGGTAATATCAATTGAGTATCTCTTACATGCGTCGGATTTCAGCAATCACTTTTCAAACAATAGTTGTTTTTCCCTCTGGATTCTGCTATAATGAACTTGTTGAAAAAGGCCAAAAAAGGTTAAACAACTATTATGTGCTTATTGACTTCCAGTCTTTCTGATGTTTAAATTTGATTGAGTTGGTTTTGGGTGCCATTGCTTTTACTCCTCAAATAATTTTGGTGATTAACCCCCCCCCACCCCCCCCCCCCCCCCACGCCGGCGCCTGCTCCGGCGCCCCCACCCGCGCCGGCTCCGCTTCCGGCGACTTCTCCGGCGCCCACGCCGAGTCCGGCGCC